CCCCGGGTTTTAAATACCCCCCCCTTGATTTGCATTTTCCCAGCCGGTCGCCATTTTAGAAATTGACTAACCCGAAGTAACTGCCCATGTCTACATGCAGCAGTGAAACGGGATTCCGGAATAAAGCCCCTAAATCGAATTAGGTGGTGAACCTCATTCTACAAAGAATACCCCCTAATTCGATTTAGGGCTTTATTCCGGAATCCCGTTTCACTGCCACATGTAGATGCGGGCAGTTACTTCAGGCTAGTCAATTTCTAAATGGCGCCCGGCCGGGAACATGCAATTCAAGCCCGGGATATTTACATCCCGGGCTTGATTTGCAATTCCCGTCGCCCTCATTAGCCTCCCTAGAACGATCTAGGGGGCTAATGTAGACATACCCATATAGATTAGTAAGACATGATTTCCCTTTACAGAAACCAAGGTATAGCTAAGCAGGACTCAGGTTTCATTATATAAACTGGGGTCCAAGGAGACCAGAAAGAAGAACGGAAGTAACAGAAGCAGAAGGAAAAAACCAAAAGGCTGGAAGAAGACCAAAGGGAGATAAAGAACATCAAGAAGAAGCGGGAAGACCTGGAAGAAGTCACCTCCGAGAGACAGCCTAAGGACTGAGGTCTCTTGACACTCATGCACAACTGTGATGTACAGCAGCTAAGATCCAGAGAGACTGATATTGCCTGGCCAACAGGGGAAGTCTGCCTGTACCAGGCTTGGTGAGCATGACAGCCTGTGCTTAGCATGTGTATTCTGCTTGTTTGGGAATTGTCAATAAATAGAGGATAAGGATATTACTGTGTAAGACACTTTCAGTGGCTAAAGATCCTGCCAACCTGCAGGAAGATGCACCCTGAGCCCCAAGAATTGGGTAAGGGTGGGTGTGTAAATTAACAGGGTTGCACCTTTAGCCCTAGGAACTGGGTAAAGGTGTGTCTCCCTACAGTGTGGAAGGGATAGAGAAAATGGATACTGTAACAGGAGGAGGAGACGGTGCTGGTGTAAGCAGGCTTTAACACCAGTTCCTACCAGCTCTATGAGAGGGGCAGGGGTGCAGCGGCTGCGTTCCACATTTGAAATGTACAAGAATCCCTCCTGAGTCTCTTGTACATTTCAAATTTTGGGTAAGAGCTTATATGTAACTAGTTTCTTTAGTGTATTATGATTAGCTTGCATCTGTTCAGTTGGCTCAGCTATCTACTTGTTATCTATTTGTTCTGTCTGCCACCTCTTATGACCACTTAAATCCTGTTTTTAAACTCAATAAAAACTGTGTTTCGTAATAAACCCAGCGTAAATAATTAATACCTGGTGGAGAAAAGAGCCTGTGCATCTCTCTGCCTTCACACTGTATAGCTCTCTGTGCAGTGTAAAACAGATTTGTGTAAGGTTCAGCTCACAGAGGGGCTGGGCTGTCTACTAGAGTGCTGAGAAAAGATCTGACTGTGTTGCTTTCAGTCTGTCTGCAGCCTTAGGAGTGAGCCTCCTGTGTCTGATGAGCTGGGATCGCAAAACAGGGTTACAGTGTCTCCAACCTGTCAGGAGAAGGCAGCTCAATGGGGTTTCAGCACACCAGGTGACAGTCACAAAGGAGCCCAATCCATCATACTTGCAGTTACATCTGAGGTGATGACAGCAGTTAGTATTTTACAGTGTTGTTCATTTAAGCAGCTTAAACACGATTTATACAAGATCTCCCAACTTGGAAACATGTAAATAGGTCAGTTAACTCAATGGGACTACTTATGTAGCTAAGAATTGGAAGATCAGGCTCTAAGTAGCTAAAGCTTCAATTAACCTTTGCTACATCTAGACTGGCATGATTTTCCGGAAATGTTTTTAATGGAAAAGTTTTCCGTTAAAAGCATTTTTGGAACAGAGCGTCTAGATTGGCAGGATGCTTTTCCGCAAAAGCACTTTTTGCAGAAAAGCGTCCGTGGCCAATCTAGACACACTTTTGCGCAAAAAAGCCCTGATCGCCATTTTCGCAATCGGGGCTTTTTTTTGCAGAAAACAAATCTCAGCTGCCTACACTGGCCCTTTTGTGCAAAAGTTTTGTGCAAAAGGGACTTTTGCCCGAATGGGAGCAGCATAGTATTTCCGCAAAAAGCACTGATTTCTTACAGTAGGAAGTCAGTGCTTTTGTGGAAATTCAAGCGGCTCATGTAGACAGCTGGCAAGTTTTCCCAGAAAAGCAGCTGATTTTCTGGAAAAACTGGCCAGTCTAGACACAGCCCTTGAGTTTTCATTCCAAGGCTGTTCTCACTGGCTCCATATTAGCTGTAGGGCAATTGATTTTCCAAGTTCATTCTCAGCCAAGTAAAGGCTGAAGAAAGTTTCTTCTACTGTTAATCATTTAATTTGGAAAAGGAAGGATATGATTCAGCTATTTAAAAGTGAACTGGGTTAGTTAAATGCAAAAAAAAAAAAAAAAAAAAAAAAGACTTCCTAAAACAAACCCCACTACCCACTAAATGGTAGTTTCTCCTTGATACAAGTAAATTCAAACTACCAAGTAAAGAAAGTTTTCTTCAGCCACCAGTTTTCTAACATAAGCCTCTTGTCTGAGCCACAGCAGCCTCAGTTTGCTGACAGTCAGCAAAGTCTGAGTTGAGAAAGTGCATTTACATTTTGTTAATAGAGCAACACAAATCTCTAAGGTGGCCATTCCCCCTCTATGGAAAGTCCTGCAAATATACGAGAAACATGAACATATAATCTACACCCAATTGCTTAATCCCTGTCAATAAAACCCCCACACAGGGTAGACCAAACCAAGGTCACCATACTTCAGCAACCAACTGCTGTTATAATCTACACCTTGTTCAGCTGCTAGTGACCCACAGTAGCTACCAGCCTTTCAGTTACTGAACTTGAGGAATTAATTCCTTCCATCAGCTGCAACAAGTGCCTCATCTGTCAGTGATAACTTTTTCTGTCTTCCACACCAGCACTGGTGGGTCCTGCTGTTGGCCAGCCAGATCCCTCCTCACTAGCTGCCTAGCCATCAGCTATGAGTGCTGGCATCCAGCAGCCAACAACAGAGCCCATGTGCAAGGCTGCTGGTAAGTAGGGATGTTAGCATGTACTTGTTTACATGATTAAGTCAGCTCCCCTGCATGCCAGCTCTTCCAGAGCTGCCTGCCCCCATCCACACACTGCTGCCTTGGATAGAGAAGCAGCAGTTTATGGGCTGGTGGGGGAGAGGCAGGAGCCAGTACAGCAGGAAACCTGCTTTCAAGCCAGCTCCTTGCACATACCAGCTCCCACAAATCATGTGCCACTCCTCCCCCACGCATGCTGCTATCTCTATCAGAGGCCGGGAGGAGAAGGGAGAAGAGTTGTTTGCAGGGTTTTTAAGCAGGCTCAGTGGCCTAGCAAGGGTGTTATGCGCCTGAGTGGGGGGGGGTGCAAAGGCAACACTGTGCCAAACTGCCCAGCAGGTGGATTCCTGGCACCTCCCTCCTCCTGCAGCCCAGGTGAACCCAGCGCCCAGCACACACACACACGCACACACACACACACACTCACAGCCCAGCCTGGCACCTTCCTAGCATGGTGCCTGGGGGCAACTGCCCTCCCCCCCCCTTGCTATTCCACTGAGCAGGCTCCCCACAGGCACTGGCTCCCATCTGCCCCATTGCGAGTAAATGTGTAACTGCTAAACATTTCAGCAGTTACACAAGTGCACAATTTTTAACATCCCTAGTGGTAAGATAAAGATGCTGTGCAAGGAGCTGCTACTCCTGCTCGTCTGTCAACACAGCTTCCACTATATGCCAGCTCTTGGCCAACAAGGATCTGCCCCCGTCCCATTTCCGACTGG